ATCGCGAACGCTGCTCAATTGTAAAAGAGAACAGTTATATTATTTATGGTTTTTGTCTCTGCTACGGTGTGAAGTTGAAACCTGGATGCTGCAAATGGCGGATATTAGTAATTGTCATTCAGCGTCAGACAACCCTCTCATCACAAAAGCAAATGTCACCCGATTCACTGAGTTACCTTCCATCATTGACGTGATCAACAACAACGTTTAGGACCTGGTTTGAATAAACCAGGTTTACCGCCCACAATAACCTCAACACGGTTGAAAATATGTCATGGAGTCCTTCAGTTTTTCAATTCTGGGCCACGCAAATCGAACCAGGGGACTCATAGGACCACTTGCTCGACCAGACGTATCAATCGATCCAGTTTTACACCTTAATCGTCAGAATGGCGCAGACCTCCGGATCGGCAGTTCCATGCCTATCACGGATGAATAGGAAGAATGATGATGTTTCGATCAGTTCAGTGTACAGCGTGCATGTTCTCAACCAAAATACACAATAATCAAAAAACTCTACTTACCTGAAAAACAGGTTAGGTTATTCGATCCCTATTGCTCATTGAAAACTTCTGAAATAAATTCAGTAAATGATACACCTTTGTTGGTTGTTACAGATGTGATATGCGTCCTGTGCCATCGAATGGTTAAATGACCGCTAGCCTTCATATGGTTTGACATGAGGCAGCTTCAAGTCACCGATCCAAATACGCACTTAAGCAAACAACATTTAAAGCGCTCTTACCTTATATGACGTTCTTTGCAGTGCCAGCAGTTTTTTGAGCAATCGACATGGCATTTTAGCCAAATTGATAGTGCTTGAAATTTAATTTCGTAATAGTCTGTTCGTCAGACTGTATAAGATTTAAAATGGATGCATGAGCTGCCATCGAAGCGTCGTCAATTGACCGACAGCATCCGCCAGTTCATCGTAGCTTGCTTAATCTAATCTGCTCAAATCTAATCTACAGTTGCTCGTTTTGGCATTGCAGAAAGGCATGATGCCTTTATCCGTATTAAAAGCCTACGACGCCGCTCATCACTTCCCCTTTGAAAGGAAAGTCTGAAACATGATGCATTGTGAGGATAAAATGTCAGCAACGTGTATGCGGGCTCTCGGTATTTTCAAGTCAACTGTTTATAAGCGTTTGTAATACTTTAACGTCAAATATTGCACAATTCTTAGAAACTTTTCATGGAATCTAAGAATTTGGGAAAACTGACGGTATTTTATGTCGTCCATAAACTTTTCTATACTCAATATTTAGGTAAACCGTGTTAACACGGATTATGGTATGACTATGAACAAAATTCATAATAATTTGCCTTTGAAACAGATGTAATTTCCAGCTTTTCTACAGAAACATCATTTTTATTGTTTAACTTGGTGACAGTAGCGCAGTGTGTTGCGTCTTTGCACTTTCGAAATGCTGGGTTCTCATCCAATGTATGACGGCAAATTTTTTTTAGATCCTGTTAATTTCAGGTTCACCTCTCCCTACATAGCAACAACCCGCTGAGAAACGCATTAAAGTTCGTCGACTTGCGAATACTAAGAACATCATCGAGTTCTCGTGTGGCCATGCCCGAGC